TGGGGTTTACTAAAAGGTCTTCAAGCGAAAGCAATTACTGAATTAAAACAAAAAATATTCTGAAAAATATTCTGAAATTAATACAGAAATATGTCAAATCGTTTGTAGAATTATTGTGGATAGGTTTCAACGTTGTATAGAACATGGAAAGAACCATTGTGAATTATTAACTTAAAAGATTGTTAATCATAGCAAATCATGTTGTCTTGAGGTGACAATATTTATACATTTTTTTAAAATTATGCTCATTTAATTTTATCAATAAATGTTAATAAATAAGAAGGGTGTTACATTTGCAGCGATGTATAACTTGAACACAAATTTACCGCAGAAGCGTATAAATATTTTTAAAAGTTTGTATGAATTATTTTATTTTTGACATTCTATGACATCTATAAATTTCTCATCCATGCACCCCGAACCAGGCTAATAGCTTGCTACTGAAATTTAGGATTTCTCGGTCTTCTGTGAATTGATTTGATAAACATTTCCCCACCTAGTTTGCACAATATGGCAAAACAATTGTTAGGTTTTCATTATTCTGTATAATGTCCATTGTTTTTTTTTTATTTCAGATTCGACAGTTTTTGGGTGAGCCATTCTAATAGCTTTTGAATGAAAATAACCCATCTAGACATTTTTTGAAAAAAATGAAGGATGATGATATGTATTAACATACTTTGAGTATATATTTAACAGCAAACCATAATAATATTACAAGAGTTATTGGGATAATTTAGAAAAAACCCAATTAGTCATGAAATCTATCAAATTTTTATGGCAACAGTTTTAACTACCTGTGCTGCAGCGTTTTTGGTCGGCCATAAGATATGTTTCGACGTAAATTGGCGTCCATCCGCATACACATCTTGCTTAGTGATGGACCAAACAATTTCGATAAGGTTAAAGTCCGGAGAGACAAGCGGCCACACCATCAAACTTTCATCTTGTATGCCGTAAGAGCCTAAGAATACTTGGGTGACCCTGACACAGTGGGGCAGAGGGACGTAATGCATGAATACTTGAATCCATGGATATGACAGCGGCATGCGATCGAGGCATGGCTCCAAGACCTCATTTAGGAGATTGCAGTTGGCGTCTGCGATCAATTTAAAGACTACAAGCAACATGATTGAGACAAGATGTCAATGGTACCAGTCCACAATATGACTCATCCACACTCTTCTTGACACTGTAAACGTTGGTGACGCTCTTCTGCGAAACAGACCCAAGCATTTACTCAACCATCAGGTCCGTCAAGAGCCGCCTTGGTCGCGTCAGTGAACAAAACACAACTCATGTTCAAGGCGATGGACTTCCGAGCCCATTGAAGCCTCAAATTCCTGTGATGGTGCATTAAAGGAGGCAGTTTCAGTGGCGCTTGCACGGAAAAGATATCCCCGTGAATGCTATTTCTGGTGGTTTTCGGTACACGAGGAAGTCTAGCAGCGGTGAAAATGGCTTTGCGTGTTTGTCCAGGTTTCCCACGTGACATTCGGATAATACTCCCTAAAATCCGTAGCTGTCGCAGACGTGGAGGTCGCAAAATCAAACCATTTCTTCCTTGGCAAAGTATCTCACTGGATTCATCTATCCGTGTCAACATGACGACCTAACTTCTCTGTAATATCATGAAAAGAGACGCCTTTAGAATTTTCCTTGATGACGACAGACTCTTCTTCAACGTTGAGGCCTTTTTCCCGGTGCCATTGTTCTCAGCAAGGAAGGACGCTATGAGCGTGTTTCACTCAAATACTGTCAAATGTGAAATAAAAATAAAGGGCGTTACAATGAAAAACTAACAATGGTTTTGCAAGCCAGCTTGGAAATCTTTTATCAATTCACAAAAAATACTTTCATGGCAATTGTTTTATTGAGCACTTTGCTATAGTACCTAGACTTTTTCAATATATGCACGTAGTAGACTAGCAACAAGTCGACAATGCAGGAGTCGACTGAATTCTATGCTAACAGTTTCTTTCACGCTTGTGGAAATCCCTTCCAGCTCCATGCTTTCAAGTTAAATTTAATCTTCAAAACTTGAAATCAATGTCAATCGCTATTTACTATCCTCTTGATTACTCATATTCTTTACTCGCTTCTTAGTGTTGTTTCTGTTTTCTAATTCTTCCTCACCCAGTAAGTTTTTGTGTTACAGTGGATTTAATGCTTCGACTGGAGTGAAATTGATTACAAATCTTATTAATTGATTATATAACTGTAGAGGTTACAATACATGCGACAAACATTACTGACTCTCTTCAGTGTTGTCCCCTAAACGTTTTCATTGAGCATTTCCATTTATTATTCAATTTCTACTTCGTATAAGGTTCATCCCAATTATCTCTACGTTCATTCTTAAACATTCCTTTTGAGAGAGAAAAATGATATATTACTTTGTACAATTTTCACGTGTTTATTTGTAAAGTCTACTTAAATTTTGTACTTTGGACGTCTTTAGTTAATGTTGTTTGTTACATATTATTTTTACAAATACAATACCATAACATTCATATATTTTATTTTTTGAATAATACATTTTTGCTTGCACTTTTTCACTATTTCTTAAATTTTTGTAACCTTTGTTAAATTGTTTCAATTTATTTTATATTGTTCTGTCGAAACTTGTTGCTAATTCGGAAGATCTCTTCCCCATCACTTTTCAATAACTTTTTCTCTTTTGAGATTATATCTTTTATAAAAATGCTTAAAAATATTGACATTTTTAAAATTAAATTAATATAAATAGCTCTATTCTTTTTTACATTTTTATTCATATGATGAAAAATTCTCGGGTTGTATAATAAATTCTCAATCTACCAAATAATCTATTGAAAATAATTCTGCGACAGTATAAGCTATTAATTTCTAGGATGAGGACGTATCATTATTTACATTATATATATTCGGACAATTATCTTTCTTTTGTTGTTGTTATCACGAAGCTTTCAGCTATTTTGCCCTCTAGCCTTCATCAAGTGTATAATGGTCTGGGTTACCAACAGGGAATTCGAACACTGTATTTAATCTACAGGCATTGATTGTTCTCATTTCGTTGCTATGTCTACAGATATATATGTCGTATAGATTGTTTTAATTTTTAGTTCTAGTCAGTTATTGCTCGCCCGTTTCCACTAAGTCGAAGTACATACTGCTCGGCCCAAGGACTGTACACACAATTATAATGTGACCAAATTAAAAAAAACAAAAGATTTAATTCACTAGATTATTTTCCCGTAGGTCACGTTATAGGTAACAATTTGATGTATATCTTGAAAATTTTTTGAAAGTATTGAAAATATTTATAATTTTATTTTTTATTGCAAACGTACTGAAAGGATAATCGAATCTTATGAATTTTAGAATCTTCATATTATTTATATATTTACATATGAATATATATATATATATATATATATATATATATATATATATATATATATATATTCTCATATATATATATTCTCATGTATATATATATTCTCATATATATATATATATATATATATATATATATATATATATATATTCTCATATACAGTGTAACCCGGATATAAGAGAGTTGTCGGGACCGGAGAAGAAGTCTCTCATATCCGGGTTTTCTTATATCCGGGTTTGGTCTAATTTATATACATTAACACAGGCTCTAATTTGTGACCAGAGAAAATCTCTCTTATATCCGGGTTTCTCTTATATCCGGGTCTCTTATATCCGGGTTACACTATATATATATATATATATATATATATATATATATATATATATATATATATACACAAATTCTCAGCTCCTGAAATAGTATAATCATTTTAACTTTGAAAAACTTAACAGACTTGATTACTCATAGAGCGTTCCATATATCTGGTCTTGAGCCAGTAAGAACGCTGTTTAAAAATATCTTTTAGCACATACGGATATACTTACTTATATATATCACGGCTTACACCGGTACATTATCTGTGCATATTCACGAACGCTATCACAGAGATATTAAAACAACTAGTTTTGTGGGGGGGGATAGGGGTATTAAGAGTGTTTATTTTTCAACATGTTCGCTGAAAATATTTTCAAACCATGTATGAATTTTGCGTCAAGTTTCGTTACAATATATTGCCTAGAAATAATGTTTGTGTATTTAACACATTCTAAACTGAAGTGAAAAGTGAATATATATTGTTATTAAATTTGATGCGCACATTCATATATATATATATATATATATATATATATATATATATATATATATATATATATATATATATATATATATATATATATATATTGTAGTATAAAAATTAATTTATAGTATTTTATGAATACTTTACAGCAATCATGGAAATAACCCTTAATTTCTCACAAACATATTTATTAGTAAATATGGCAATAAATATACGCCTGTACTGTTTTATTATTTCATTTCTTATTTCTATTTCTTCCCTGAGTAGAAAATCAGTTATCACTTTTTTCTGTATGCACGTACATGTCTGCATCAATGCGTCTTTACTCATGAGGCCGACGAAAATATTGGGCATCAGTAGATAAATTCTCTTACCCAAAGTTGCACTGTTTAATAAAAAAAAAATAATCACATTAAGTAAATGTGTGTGCAGTTTGAATATGTGATACGGCTTAGTTAACACGAGAGAATGCACTTTTAGTATTGTCTCTCTAAATATATTTTATTTACATGTACGTGTGGGTGTTTTGTAAATCCTCAACCAGAGAGTACAGAAATAAGATGAAATCACGCTGGAGATTGTATATCAATTGACAATGTATTTAAAATGAATTATATACTATGCATCTTTACACATGCATAACACATGATATGTGAACAGGTACAATTCACAATTACAAACTGATTTCTTTCAGAACTATCTCCCTTACTATTTAAGTGGAGCATTGATGTAAATAAAATTCTAACAATTATCTTAAGTAATATAAGTATAGAGAAGGATAAAATACTTTGAATAAGTAAGTGAAAACAGCAACCGGCGTAGGTCCATATCAGATTGAAAAACCGGTTCTCGTAAGATCACTGAAGTTAAGCAACGCCGAGCCTGATCAGTAACAAGATGAGTGACGTGCTTGGAAATACCACGTGCTGTAAGTTTGGATGTGCAGATGGCGTAATGGATAACGGGTCGGAAATCCAAGTCGGAAAGCGGTGTTCCAATTCCAGTCAGGTTTGTTATATTCACTTATGGGAAAGGTAGGAATTCACAACAAGCTGCCGGTTAATTAGTAGGGCTATTAACAGTGAATAATTGTAAACCCTAAATTACATTCTTTCATTCTAACAATATTTCTGGCTTTAAATAAATCAATATATGCTTATAAAGAATCCCAGGATTATATTTGGATTATTATGAAATAGTTTACTTCAGTTTTTTTTTTTTTCGTATACACACTTTAACTTCCAGAATCTACTCCCATTTGGTTCTGGGAATTGGTCTGCAGCGTCTACATTACATTAATTCCTCCAGCATATATTATCTTTGGAATAATTAAGCTATGCTAAATGCAGTTAAAATCAAAAGAACTAGATATAATGTTAGTATCTATTCACATCATAATAAAAATATAATAATTTGGAGTAAGTCTTCATGTTTTATTATTAGACACATATATAAATAATACTAAAGAAAAGAATAACATTTTAATGTGCAAGAATGAAATCAATAAACGGTTAGCTGTGAGTTTCATAACAATTTGATCATTTCTCTAATATCGGTTTCCAAGAAGATCTGAATTTATTAAATGTATAAAATTTTGCAGAATTGTCATTTAAGATAGAAATAGAAAGATATTGAGATACATAGATAGATAGATAGATAGATAGATAGATAGATAGATAGATAGAAAACACGTAATGAGATAGATAGATAGATAGATAGATAGATAGATAGATAGATAGATAGAAAAGCACATATTGAGTATCACATATTAAAATAGGTAGATAGAAAGAAAAGCACATATAGAGATGAATATATATATATATATATATATATATATATAGAGAGAGAGAGAGAGAAAGAGAGAAGCAGATAGATAGATAGATAGATAGATAGATAGATAGATAGATAGATAGATAGATAGATAGAAAAGCACATAATGAAATAGATCGCTAGAAGACTGACTAATATATATTGCATATTTAGATCGATCCAATGAGAGAGAAAGAGAACGAATCGACGAATTGATGCCAATTCAAGGCCAAAGTATAAGTTGATAAAATGAATGACTTAATTTAACTGGAAAGCATATATTTTTACTACCTAACAATGATTTATGTAAGGAAAAAGAAATGGCGTGACTCAATGTTTAATAAGTAGAATATATCCCCAAAGCGAGCATGGAGTTGATGAGAAAAGAGGAGAAAACGATCAGTCGATGAACACGAAGAAAGAGATAATTATAAAAAAGAGAAATTAGAGAAGGAAGAATATAGAAAAAAAGTTAAGTATGTGAGGACAATAAGCAAGTGATTATCGATTGACTCGTCGATAGCTCGCTAGATGCAGAGATGTTCGCGCTTCGTTGAATTAACATAGGCATAAAACTTATGCATGATATAGACAACTGGTTTTCCGCTTTAGGTTGTACTAGCCAGATATTCACTTACACTATGCTATGGTAGATACGCAAACACTCATCAGTACATTGAGAGTTTTTTTTTTTAATTTTTTTTTACGCAGTGAGACTATGGAAATGGGGTAGGTGTAGTGGAAATGGCGAGGCTGGTAAGGATATCGATTTCATAATGCCACATAATCTACGTTTCCTATCCCCTTACTTGTCCATTTTCTAATCTAATCATTTTTTATACCTTCGATATTAGTTTTAACATGTAAGCTGCCGTACAAAGAGATAAAGAGGATAAATGTGGATATAAAATATTACGTGATGTTTTCCAAACTGTTTATCAATATATATCTGTGCGTATGAGGTTTGTATGTGTCTGTGAGTGTGTGTGGGTATGAACTTGCCAGAAAGATGAGATGATACTTTTTATGACTGTATATAAATAAAATAGAATAACATAGACAGATAGACAAAGATGAGTACTTTTTGAAAGGCTGTAAATTTCCAGTCCGAAGAGATTGCAGTTATTCTTAAAATACAACATTTTTTTAAAAAATTCTAATAATAAATTATACCAAACGGTCAAAACCACGGTATTATTATTTATTCATGATTTTGTGTGTTCACTCCTGTTTTGTGTTGAGGATTGACTGACATAAATCCATTCAAATATCCAGCACCTTACTCAGTACCATGACTGGGATCTGTCCAATATATCTGCCCTACTTCCGATATCTTATTTCTCTCCGGTATCGGTTCTCATGATAACAGAAAAGTTATCCATGCTGGCTATTACGATGCAGGCAATTCTAAACATCATATTTAATATCCTTCTCTGTTCACGGGCAAAGTCCCGCTATTTTTCTTAAATTCTCAATCTCTATATACATCACCAGCACAGTGACAGCTATCTTATAATTGATTCTTATCTCCTTACACTAATCAGCTGCATTTCTTCTTGTTTGGGAGAGTGATGGCAAAACTCACAAATAACCTATTTTGTCTTCCATAGGCTATGCTGATAGAAAGCAAAAGTGATATTTGGCCTGATGGAGCGCTATTAATTTCGCCTGATGGTGAGCAATGCATTTCACCCTTTTGGTCTCCCGTTTTACACTGAATTGTTACGTCTGCTACTACGTAAGTTAGTTCATTTTGTCGTGACAGACATTTCGTCTCATCAGATTCTATCTAGTGCATTTATATATAGACCATTTATCCACATATTGAATATTGCTACTATATCTTGTCCGGTGTTCCTGCTACATATCTAAAAATTCTCGACAATATTCAAGGAAGGATCTGTAATGTAATCAGTCCTGACGTTACATTTAAACTTCAGTCACTTACCCACCGTTCTGACTTGTTTTTCTAGGTCTTTTCTATCTTATGTCAATTGTTCCAATGAGCTTTGATCTTTGATTTTCCGACTCTATGATTTTGGTTTTACTGGTGAATTCGTGGCAAATAAAGAATCATTATTACGTAATTTTATCTAAATGTATTTTATAATTACGGCCACATCACCATATATAGTCGTGACAAAATTAATTCTAAAAATATCATTAAATGTTTTAGTTGAATCAATATTTTCATAATACTATTATTTTATAAAGCATACAAGTAAAAGTTAATAAAAGTAGAGTGCTATATGCAATTTTTCCCACATTCACTGCGTTATATAGAAATATGCATTGAGTGTCGCCAACATTTTAAAAAGACACCTAAAATGAAAGCATAACCGTCATTATTATCTGGGCATACGGCATAAAATAAAATGCCATGTCACTAATCTATGGTGTTTTCTATGAATAGGTATTCTTTTTCTCACGAGGATTTGAAAGGTAATTTGGCCTTTTCCTCACAGATGTGTCGCTTATCTATCTTCTTTTTATTCGGTTTTTCGAAGTGTACACATACTGAGCGTGGCTAGGCTGGGCAATTATTAAATATTGAAGGCAGCCGCTAACATACAGTGTGGCATAAATCTGTGCCTGGTGACGAGTATGTAACATTCGAGAACAACACACTGATACACCTTGGTTCTCTGATGTGACACTGAGTGCATATTTTGCTATCATCTGCACTGAACCCAGTATAGATTGGGGTCATTGCAGATCAACTTCTTTCGGACAAATGTTTCTTATTTTCATTAAATTCGATTCAAGTCATCTAGTGATTCATTGTGTGAATCACATACATCACTTCAAAATCTTGCGAATATGGACGGAAAAAATGCTATAATATTTTACTGAATATTTTTCTGAAGAAAATGATTTATAGAATGAAATATGTTAAAGCCGAAAGAGAGATGAAGTCAGGAACATAAAATAAAACTCTATATAGACAAACAACAATATACAAATGAGAAGGATAAACAACCGAAAACGTAAAAAGAACGGATGAAATTAAAAAAAAAAGATTGAAAAATGAACGGGGCCGATAGCTGTAATAGAAAACATAAATCAGTAGCTCTTATCTAAAGAAGATAGTCTTGAGAGCTACTGACAGATAATTTAGAAAGACATAGCAGAGAGAAGATTCTTAAGAAGGAAAAAATGCAGACATGTGAACTGAAAAAACAAAAGTAAACTAGATCAAATAGATACAAACACACACACAGATATATATATATATATATATATATATATTATTATTATTATTATATTATATTATATTATATTATATTATATTATATTATATATGGCAGATTATGATATTCAGGAAAGACCACAATCGAAAGACTGAAGTATAAAACGAATTGCATGGGACCTAAGTGGTGGAGAGATTGATGTATAACTTGAGTGAGAAATTACAAATCGCCCACTCATGGTGAAATCTGTTAATTCTTATTTACACACGAATACAAAGAAAATAATTCAACAAAATACTACTTATAACAGAAATCATCGAGTTGATAAAAATAACAAGAGAAAACCCCTGCAAAGAAAGATGTAAAGAATCTGTGTTAGTCTTTGGTGCCTCATATAAGTGTCTGTAATAACTGTGGTCAAATGTTAATCAAACGAGAGTTTTAATAAATTTGTGTTTGAAAATCATTAAAAGAATAAAAATGCGAAATTAATAAACGGGGTACTCTAATAAGCTTAATAGGGTTGGAACATTTTCTTGAGAAATGTCTTCCCGTCTACAAAGCCCCTAAGATTACATGTACAAATGCTATTCTTTAAATAGAATGAGTAAATTTATGCGTGTCATTAAACCTTACACGTCTTGCGTATGACAACAAACTGCATCAAGCATCAAGAACACTAATAGGGAGATTGGAGGTTTTATGGAGCCTGAAACCACCTCTTAATTGCTATGGTTCGCAGGTCCACCCTCACCTGAAATGGTAGCACCTGTTAGGTTCCCAGCATTGAGTAAATAGTGAACTCTCAGAAGAAAAAAATCAGTATATTTTTAGCATAAAATAAGCAATAATATATTTTTATAGGAAAATGATTATCAATGGAAAACTAAAAAAAATATAAAAATACTTTTTTATAGTAAAATTACCAACAATAAATTTTATGATCTACAAATTATATATCTAAAACCACATAGTTTTACTCAAAATATAAACTTTCGTACAAAATATATTTAGTTGACGCCATAAAATTCCGTGCAAATTATTTAAATTTCAGCATTAAATATCCCATAGATGTTGATATGTCTCTACACGAAATCAAAAAAGCAGCATTAAAAACTTACATATATATAATTTATGGCGACAAGCTAGAATTGTGAATCAGGAAATGTCGACGTATTTTACTGAGCGTTGAAAAACTGATTTTTTTATTGACCGTTTATTGGCTGAACCGACCGAAACATTTTGGAAAATAAAGATCATATTGTAACTTTGATTGTTAAGGCGCTGAAATAAAAAATAAAAGAAAAAAAGAAAAAGAAATGAAAGAATTGATAATCCGCAGAAGAAGAATTATAACCACGCAAAAAAAAAACAAAAAAAAAACGCTCTAATAAAACAGTTAGAATAACAAGGTCTAACTCTAGTGAATGTAACCGGATGATTCTGGATTTGAAACTAAAACGTTCCTTATCAGATCATCTGTTGAATACGAAGATAGCGATCATACAAGGCATTAATAGTGAATTCGGCAAATTCACCAAAGTCGATGGCAAAATCTGGAAAAAGTAATATCATAAAAAATTGAAATTATAAAAACAAGAATTACTGAAATCGGCAAACTGCAGAAGAATCAAATTGATTTATGATGATTCTTCTGTCAGCCATTGTCATCAAATACTATTGTTCTGAAGATGTGTTTCTAAAATTATAACACTTTCAATCTAAACATATACAATAAATCTGTTTGTACATTTCCGAACGGGAGCGTAAATATTGCAATTTCCCGTTGACATTTTCTACCAAAAAACTCGCGGCAGATAAAGATTTATATGCAAATTCCCGGTAACAGAGATAAACAAAGAAATCTATGTTACTTGTTCATATGTAAGGAAAAAATGAATTATATAGCAATGTTGATATCATCGACCTCCCAATGCATATAATGTTACTGAACTCGAAAAGAATGCACCTAAATATGGCTGGCTGGAGAGGGGATGATAGATATATACGATAAGAGTCATCGCTATCTCAATAACAATGGAAACGTTAAACTGTTTCGAAAAGACTCTCTTCAATTCACTTAAAAATAGATTTCCTCAAAGGACTAATATATACAAATTAAATACAAATATTTTCTGCAACCATCGTTTAGGTCTCTTTGAAATGCTGATATTTTTTATGCTTGTTACAGAGGACAGAGCAAAATATGAATATCTTAGCTGTAGCTAAGATATTCCATTTCTCAAATGATTGTTCCTTTTATACAATTTGTTTAATTTTCCTTAACGTGTTGGCAGTCATTAGTTTTCCTTTTTCTCTCATTTACTTCTCTTAATATAGGTTTTACGGAAATTTGATCTGTTCTCTCTCATTCACCCATAGACTCCCTAAGGACTGCGCGAACACGTTAGGCTTTGCTACTGTGGCTTCCATAGCAATTATTAGACTTTTACTCGATGGGGTAGATAGCCCCAGACCTAGCCAGTTTTTCTTTCTAAGACTGGTTAACGATTACGGTTAAAGCAACTAGATGATGAAGGGAGATTCATGCCCTTCCTAAGAGTATTTGCGTGTAAGTAAAGGCAATGAACACCGATGGAATTCGAACTCGTCTCTCCGTTGTCTCATTCCTTGCCGCGAGCCATTGAATCTATGGGGTTAGCTACTTAAGCCAGCTTGCTAATTTCAATTTTTTTAAAATGATCCAAAAGCATTGTCAATTTTTTTATATGTCCTGCAAGTAAACACTCATTCATAAAACGATTGACACATTTATGACCGTTGGTGCAAAACATATACTGATATCATGATAGCAGAGGGTGTTTCTGATGGAAGAAATCCATATTTTGCCCGCTGCACATGAGACTTGTGTTGAATTTAGAATTATCCTTTTTTCTAGACTGGCTGCCACTCAAGATAGAAGCGTCCAGTCTGCCGTGCTATTTAACCCATAGCTAGAGGAAGATGAATTTTCTATAAACATTAGCAATATTCGAAAAGAATTTGAACTCTGATCACTGGGGTCACTTCCTGTGACGATAACCTTTACAATACGGGCGCATCCTAATTTACATACAGAGAGATCATAACATTTGAAGTGAAATCACATTAACATGAATTATAAGGATATGCAAATGAACTTGTCCTTATTCCTATCGTCGCATATGGGAAAGAAGAAACTTGAGATTTTCTACTAAAATGCTTGATATTATTCCATATGAAAATTACAATTAAGTAAATCAATGCTATTGAATCAATTATGATGTCAATTTTAAATGACTCTTAATGCGTCTGCTTTAGATTTTGTCATATATATATATATATATATATATATATATATATATATATAGATAGATAGATAGATAGATAGATAGATAGAGAGAGGGAACTGTAAGAAGCCTGTTGAAGATTTTTAAATGTTATTTGTAATTTAAATTCGGTCTGGCACAAGAGACATATGCGTATCATGTGATTCAATTGAAAAAAAAAATACCAGGCGATGTGAATCAAATTAAATTCATTTAAGAAGTATTTTTTAACCGAAATTAATCTACGATAGCTCCAATATATACTCGAGATAGTAAAACAACCTTTGAATTCAGTATCATACCAGAGCATCAGAAAAGCCAGATGCATCATAGGATAAACTGGAAAGTGACCTCATAAACACCGTGTTCAGATGATTGCTTTACATATCGTGCCTAGCCTCGGCATTTGAACAGTTGGTCACCCGACGACACATTGAAAACATGGATGACAGGAAGTTATATAAGCACCCCACATGAAAGCGAAGTCAGAGTGTATTTCATATTGTGACATAATGATAATCCACGTTCAAAAAAGCCCGGAAAAAACAATTTTATATTAATCGGTAGGTTAATAAGCTATTATTTTAATTATTAGAGGTTGAGTTTCACTTTCTAATTTGTCTTTGCAAAGATAACATTATAGATATGAAAATCGAACTCATGATATTCGGCAGTTCGGCTCCACTTGCTTAATAATTTTGTAACAGTAGGTACCCACATCAAACTCACAATAAGTGTCCTATAGAACATACCTTATACACAATGTGAAGGCTACATAGGAAGACATAAAATGTAAGTCTTCTATGCAATGGTTCTCTTCGGTAGTGCTGACAAACCGGTGTATTAATGATGTGGCATCGCAAGTTACGAGGAAAATATCAATGAAATTACTGTCTTCTATTGAGTTTTGGTCTACGATGTCCAAGGGGGAACTACAGAGATCACAATGCATAATTTCAATGGTATAGCAATATCTAGATTTTCTTTACCTGATATGAAAGCAAATAAAAGACCTCCTATTAATTTCTCCTGCATGTGGGTGCTCCTCGATAATGAGGTCTGCTTGAATAAATAATTTTAGGTAGCCATAGCCGCCTGCAATATTATATAAAATGAAAATAATAAACGCGAAGGAATAAAGATAAAGAAAAATGTAACGAAATAGAATAAAATGAATTAATACATTAAAATTTTTGAGCGATCCGTGAATAAATAAAAGTAAAGTTAATCATTGGGTAATATTTGAGACGAACACAGAACGATAGAGAAAAAGGAGGTACAAGAGTAATATAAAAATAAGAATGGACAATGTTGATATAGTAAAGAAATAAGTGAAATTCAAACAGAGAACAGACCAGAAGAAAAAGTATTAAATGCAAATGATAAGTAAATTGTCAATACTGTGAATCGTTAAAATATACGCTTAAGGAAGCGAGATGAGAAAGATAGAGCAAATGAAAAGAAGAGGAGCATAGAAAAAGAGAAAAGAGCAATGATAGATTGTGAGAAAAAAGAACAATTCGCAAACGCAGACAAGAAACAATAATTCGTCATACAATTAAGACGTTAAGATATGAAAAAGTTTCCGACCGACATTAAATTTCGCAGATAAACTGCTTGAAAGTATTCAATAAATACAGTTGTTCCTCCATAATAAAGATCGTTTTAACTATGATTTAACTTATTCATTTTAATGGGAATCGATCCAAATTGGCCGCAAACTTAACCCGTTTAGATTTTAAACATTTAATTATTGCTGATCTAGTTTTCTTATTCAAAAAGTATCTTACAAAATTATGCACGCCTTAAAACACATGAAATTCTATTAATTATTTTTTCTAGTTTTGTTAGCTTTTTATCAATATGGCACAGGATATATATATATATATATATATATATATATATATATATATATATATATATATATATATATATATATAACGTATATTTCTGCGTATAAAAGGACCTGTAAATCTTAAAAACCTACCGCAAAATAGTCAATCGTCTAATGCAACAGTTACAAAAATGTAACCTGTGGAGTATAGAGCAGCAGGAATTATTTCAAACATGATTTGTTGAATAATATCGAGGCGCTCTCTCCATTTTTATAAACTTTTTCAAATTACCGAATTAGTTGTTTTATGTGTAATGGGTAAATTTACGAAAGTTCATTTTTGTGTCAGAATATCCTACAACGGATTATCCGATGCCCTCTTGTTCATATCGGGTAGAAGAAACTATTCTAAAACCTTCGAAAGTGGGTCAGCATGAAATCGGAAATAATTGTCGACGGTTTGTGTATGATAGTTATGTTCCATTCGTGATACACGCTTAGGCGACCATTTATCATACATGATTGACGAGACAGATTTTTTTTCCAGAAGTAGGTTGCCATTTCTTTCTGCGGTAGACCAGTTGCCATCCAAGGCTATAGGACCCGGTCTTTCCTGCTATTTACCAATAGCTGGGGAAGAAGTAGAGGATCCATACGTTTCCCAAGGGTATTAGCACTTAAGTGGATGTAATAGATTCGAGTAGAATTCGAACTCGGCTATCCGATTCCTCAATCTGAATCGCTATCCATTAGTCCGCCGTCCTCGTTAAAATAATTGAACAGATAAGTTAATGCGCTCTCTCCTCGAAACTGTACCTAAGATCTTATTAGCATAGTTGCTTTATAAACCGCAGGTGGACAATATGAGTTGAGCTAGTGCCTGTGACAGGCTTTATCAATATGTCACATTCCTTTATTCTACATTCAACACCATCACATGATATGACAGCAGAAGTGTTGAAACAAATTGGCAACTTTGTAGTGATTTTATTACATATTTATGTTATAATTTTCGAATAAATAATTATATATATATATATATATATATATGTATGTATGTGTGTTTTTGTGTGTGTGTGTGTGCTTGCATGTGTATCTGTGTATGTCTGTGTCTGTGTCCCAGACGTATGTGGATGTGTAAGGAATCGAGTACCCATCCATTATCTATCTATCTATCTATCTATCTATCTATCTATATCTATATATCTTATATATATATATATATATATATATATATATATATATATATATATATATTAAAAATTTATGTATTTAGGCAGCAATTCTTCTTTCATGCACATTTCATTAAACAAGAAAGTATCAAAAACATATTTAAACTAAATATATAAATAAATTAGTGAATTAAAAGAAAGTGCCTGATCGAATAGCTTGCTTGCAAAAAAAAAAGATTTGCGTAAAACGAATACTTCGTATGTTTATCTATTTATAACAATTTCTTTATTCCAGAAGAAAGCACTATGCAAATATTATAGTGAAATATCCCATAAAATAATTGAAATGAGTCAGTGATCAAAGCCACCTGTTTTTGCATCTGTCAATTGTTACATGGCAGATGTCTTTTCCCAAGGACATTTATCTCAATCGATATGCATAAAGTGAATAGTAGAAATCGCTATTGATAGACTCTAAAGATAATAAAGCGATGGTACCGAAAAACGGATAACAATAAAAAGTTGTCTAATGTATGTACTTCCATTTTGACAAAGTGAATTTTCCTGTAATCATTCTCTCTTTTGTACATAGAGAGCTATCAACCGTTTGATAGCTGGTCACTGCCAAAAGAATATTTTCATTTACAATCTGCGTAACTTAGCAAAGTCAGAACATTTACTATGGCGATAATTGCAAGATTCACAATAGTTTCATTTGCTGTATTCTTTCTTTTTCCTTCTCTCTTTTTTCCTTCTCTCTTTATTTATCTATCTATCTATACTTTTACCTATGCTTCTCTCGTTTTTACCTTAATTTGGTGCCTTGCTTCGTACATGCACGTTTCAAAATTCTGCAAGCATTTCACCCGTGCGTATGGCACAGTACGTGTAGAAAATTGGGTCATCTTTTCTACAGGCTGCCATGTAAAAAGCGCAGAAAAAAAATTTATTTAGCAGTCTTGATTCTTTTACCTGAATCTTCAACACAAAGGTGTAAGCGTGGCTACTAGACAGTAGCTTTATTCAAATTAATGAATATTCAAGAATTTTGTTCAAGGTTATTCAAGACCAGTTATTCCTGAAAGATAAAACTGATAATAAATTTGCCACTTTTTGGAGGTTTCTCTTTACTTCAAATTCCGACTAATCTAGTTCACATTCCGAAAGATACTTTTAGGCATGAAATGAATTGAACTTCTCTCCTTTAATGATATGGCAGATATAGCCGGCTAGACAAAGTTATCCCCATCACCGCTTGTTTGGCAAGTAGTCTAGTAAAAAAAAAAAAAAAAAAACAAATAAAGAAAAGTTTTGCTTATGGGGCTAGCAACCCCAGCCCTTAAAAATGTGTACCTACAACAGAAACTACAGCTTCAAAAATTGGAGAATCTATGGCCCTATACTCCAGATATGATGGGAAGGACACGTCACTCGCTTCCTCTCTCTTTCTCTTTCGTCTTAACAATCAACTTTCTTCTCCGCAATCTATCGCTATACCTTTCTTTATGTTCCATTTGTTTGATAGCAAATTAATTTTTATCCTTATTTTTCACCGTCATTATTCATTAGTAATGAGCATTTTCCTTCTTTTTTCATATTACAATGCAGTATTTCAGTTTTATGCTTCTCTTTGACATTCCAGATTTGCAATTTTAATTGTTAAGCATTTCAAATTGTTTTTATGTTCATGAAGCTGGTATAATTGGCGCTCTTCAATCTCTTTAAATTTCCACTATTTTCATCAAGATTTCTTCAACAGCATGATATATTTTTTTTGCCTTTTAAATTTTACATGTTATATTTTGTTCATAATTTTCTTTTACTCTTTCTGAGGAAAAAAGACTTAAGATCAAGCATATCATACATAGATAAAGCCCTTAGTAAGGTGTGCGCTGTACTTGGAGAGTACAATCTTTTGTATTTCTTTCAGGTATGAGATAATAGAAATCCCTTCAATTAGTCTATTGAAATTTTTTCCAATCAATCCGAGGGCTCCAAATACAACTAGATTTGTTGATGTTCTCATGTGCCACATTTCTGAGATTTCCATTTACAAGATCCTTGTATTTTGATAGTTTTTGAAGATCTTCAAAGATACATTGGAGTTTGCATGTCATTTTGCTTTTGCGGTCTCTGATTACGACGTCTGGCCGATTACTTTTGATTATTCTGACTCTGTGTATTTTAAATTCCCATTAATCGTTAGAGGCCCTATCTCCATAACTGGGTATGGGTGGGATTCATACCAATTTCTTGCTGTTTCCTATCCGTAAATGTTGCAGATATTCCAATGCAGATATTGGACCACTCTGTCATGCCGGGTTTTACATTCAGTGGATGCCAATACCTTGCAACCTGATACAAGATGGTCAATTGTTTTTAGATATTTGTCACAGACACTGCATTTTGGTATAACATAATTTTCCAGTATGTGTACTGAACATATCATTATTATTATTATTATTATTTTATTATTATTATTATTATTATTATTATTATTATTATTATTATTGTTGTCATGACAGTGACATTTTCAGCTTTTTCTCGTTTGCTTTCTGAATTATACTCCTTCTGAATACTTATCAACGTTTCTCTGCATTCAAAATGATACAAGGAGAAAATTACCAATCGCTCCTACCCACTCAACACTGAAAGGTCTAATCTATTTTTCTATGATGTCTCAAGTTTTATCTAACAGATATATTTCGCCGATATGTTATTGTGATTAGGATCGGTCCTAACTCAACATCGGCCGATGCACTGCATAAAAGATCATTATTCGTCCCTGGAGATTCGAACTTCAGGACGGAACTTGAATAATGCAAGACGAGAACACTGTCTTTGTAAAGCTTTTTCTATCGATATCCGAACGTGTAAGAATTTATATGAATCAACATTCTATTGAATCATTGAAACTAAAAATTAAAAGCTAAAACAATATAAACAGAAGCCCTGAAAACAAGCGAAAACATTCAATAAAATAACACATAATACAAAGTTCCTGCAGTAGCATAGATAGAGTGTGTGGCGTTCTGAGTATCCCTTCCCCTGTCCCCACCAAAATATACATATTTAATAGTGACTCACTATTAAAGTTATAAAACTAGTTTCTGTACCATCATAATATTCCTTTCACATACGCAAGTATAACATGCTTTAAATAAACACCAAATATACTTAAACTTTATACTTTAAACTTTATCAGTAATAGTTACAAAGCAAAAAATATATACAGGGAAAAATATAAAAAGTAGGGCCATCCGTATTTCTGAAATGAAGATTAAAACTTTCTAGGAAGTAACATTTTTTTATGGGAAATTCTTCAATGACTTCGTCAAAACCTATTGCATTTGTTTATTGTGGCTTGATAGACAATAAATAGGCCGATATATACGCCATAGTTTAATTTACTCGAAACAGAAAATATCCTTTAACAGTGAGTACTGTCTCGACATTGAAACGACTTTTATTTCAATACAGCTTATACAGACTTATAGCCTACAGCAGACATGTTGCCGCCCCCATAAATGTGCCGACCCAATAAAAGT